ATATGTTATGAATACAATATACATACATATGCATATAAAGCATCCCTGGACAATATTTCAACATCCCTGATAATTGATCCTTACCTACAGAGTGTAATATAATTTTTTTTAAAAGGTTTACTATTTGCACTGTGCCCTCAAGAATAAATATTAAATAATATATGTAAATAAGGTATATGTTATGAATACAATATACATACATATGCATATAAAGCATCCCTGGACAATATTTCAACATCCCTGATAATTGATCCTTACCTACAGAGTGTTATGTTTTACACTCATTAGTTTAATATAATAAACGTTAAAAAATAACAAAATTTGTCAAAATTTTTAATCTAATATAATAAATAATACATAATACAACATTTTTAAGATTAAAACAGTCAATTTGAGTTTCTACTTTATATACGCAAATATCATTACGGTTCAACTTTAATAAGCAACCCCTCAAATTTTCTAGCTCTCAACCAATCTCTAAAATTAATCCCAAAAAATTTCTTATTGTTGGCATTAAAACGTATAACAAAACATAAAACATAAACAAATCAAAATTATATGTCAATGCTAATTAGTTTATCTCTCAGACAATTGAAATAGGTTTAAGACTAGACCGAAACCTATTCAACTCATACCAGATTAGATCAACTCATATCATATAATCATTTCAGTATCAGCATTCCCAATCTCACTCCAAATTTTCCGTTCACATTTTGCAGCGGTTCAACATGAGCGCGGTCCCCGCAAGCCGAAGCTACATCCGCAGCTTCATCACCATCATCATCACGCTGCAGCTGCAGCGGCTGCTCACCATGCGGCCGCCGCCCACGCCCACCACCACCACCAYCATCACCATCACGCCCATGCGGCGGCGGCTCATCATGCGGCGGCCGCTGCAGCCGCCGCTGCCGGACTGCATCATCACCACGGCAGCCATATGCCCGTGTCGCTGGTGACCAATGTCTCCGCGTCGTTCAACTATACGCAGCACATCTCGACCCACGCACCGCCGGGCGGCTTCCATTTGCCCACAGGTGCGAGCCAGGGCGGTGCTCCGGCCCTGCCCCACCAAGGGCAGCCGAGCCATGGCGCCCAGTCGGCCGGATCACATGCGACGGCCTTTCATCATCCGGCCCATGGGCATGCGCTGGCTCCGCATGCAGCTCTGCAGAATGGCGGTGGTGGCAGCGGTGCACTCGGTGGTGCAGCTGGCGGTGCGTCCAGCGTCGCCATGACCTTCCCACCCCACTTGCTGCATCACAATCTGATCGCCGAGGCGGCCAGCAAGTTGCCCGGCATCACGGCGGCAACGGCTACGGCTGTGGCTGCTGTTGTCTCCACCACGCCGTATGGCCACCACCCGGCCAGCTCGTCAGCCATCGCAGCGAATCACAGCAGCAACAACAACAACAASAACTACTCGTCGCCCTCGCCCAGCAACTCCATACAGTCCATCTCGAGCATTGGCTCGCGCAGCGGCGCCGGCGGCGCTGACGGCGCTGCCAGCCTGAGCCTGGGCAGCGAGAGTCCGCGCGTCAATGTGGAAACGGAGACGCCGTCGCCGTCGGCATCGCCGCCGCTGAGCGCTGGCAGCGTTTCGCCAGCGCCCACGTTGACCGATTCGCAGAGCTTGGCCGCATCCAGCGCATCGCCGCATCCGGCACAGAGCTCGACGCACTGCCTCAGCGACAACTCGCATCAGACGAACAATCCGGCAACGCCGCCCACAAATGCTGCGCTGCTCATGCACAGCATTCATGTCAACAACAACAATAACAACAACAATAGCAACAACAATAACAATAACAGCAACAACAACAACAACAATCTGAGCAACAATAAACAGCTTAGCTACACATCCGGCTCACCCACGCCCACCACGCCCACACCTCCGCCCGCGGCGCTGGCAACAGCGCGCTCCAGCAGCGCCTGCCAAGGCTCGAACGGTTTCCTGGAACTGCTGCTCAGTCCGGACAAGTGCCAGGAGCTCATCCAGTATCAGGTGCAGCACAATGCGCTGCTCTTTCCGCCGCCGCTGCCCCAGCAGCTGCTCGACTCGCGCCTGCTCTCCTGGGAGATGCTGCAGGAGACGACGGCTCGCCTGCTCTTCATGGCCGTGCGCTGGGTCAAGTGTCTGATGCCCTTCCAGACATTGTCCAAGAACGATCAGCATTTGCTGCTGCAGGTGAGCTGCATAACTAACTAGAGTTGAAGAGATTTTGGTCTTGAGATTGCGCATTAACTTCATTCTCAAATTTTCACTTAGTGAACTCAAATTCACTTGCGCTGAAACTTTCATTTCCACCTGGCGAGGTGAATTTTTCTTTTATTTGAAATTCCATTTTCACAGCTCCGAGAAAATTTATGACGATTTCTGAATTCCATTAAAAACAGTCGATGGAATAATAAAAAAATAAATAATAACTAAGCTAGCAGGCAACCTCTGATAAGAATTTCAGATGAGGAGGTAGAAGCAGTGGCGCAGCGAGGGGGGTTTGTGAGTAGGAAATGTGTTTAAAATGAATGGACGATTTTGTTTCTTCCCCTTTAAAAATGGGAAATCTGGCTATATTAGTGATCTAAAACCAAGCCGAATCTATAAACTATATGTATATATTCCTGATCAGAATGAGAAGCTGAGTTGATCTAGCCAGGTTCGTCTGTCCATATGATAGCTAAACATAGCTCTTACAATTGGATAATATTACTATAGCACTATAACTTCTATAACTACTACTGTGACAAATTGACTTACCGCCATCTCAATCCTTCTCAACTCTCCCAATTAGGAATCCTGGAAGGAGCTCTTCCTGCTCAATCTCGCTCAATGGACCATTCCCTTGGACTTGACGCCCATACTGGAATCGCCGCTCATCAAGGAGCGCGTGCTGCAGGATGAGGCGACCCAAATGGAAATGAAGACCATACAGGAGATCCTCTGTCGCTTCCGTCAGATAACGCCCGATGGCAGCGAAGTGGGCTGCATGAAGGCCATTGCACTGTTCGCCCCCGAGACCGCCGGCCTGTGCGATGTGCAGCCGGTGGAGATGCTGCAGGATCAGGCGCAGTGCATACTCTCCGACCATGTGCGACTGCGTTATCCGCGCCAGGCCACACGCTTCGGTCGGCTGCTGTTGCTGCTGCCCTCGCTCCGCACGATACGAGCGGCGACCATTGAGGCGCTCTTCTTCAAGGAGACTATCGGCAACGTGCCGATAGCACGACTTCTGCGCGATATGTACACCATGGAGCCGGCGCAGGTGGACAAGTAGATGATGACTCGCTAGACTGGCTACCTAGCTGGCTGACTGTCTGTCTGGCTGGCCGGCCATTCGTTGTGAATTGGGCGTGGCGTGCTTCCAAATGTAATCAAAATCGATGCGGCAACAATTTTTGTCACTTGCAAAAATATTTTTGCTCCAACTAAACTAGAAAAAGAAAAATTATAAAAAAAGAAGAAAATATATATAAAAAGAATGAAAAAATGGAAACGAAACGTTGATAAAAAAGAAAAGTAAAAAAATTGCGACTGCAGCTGCGACAGTTCACAGCGCGTACAGCGCTCTTGTAATAGATACATTGCCACGCCCCTCCGGGCGCCTCTGGCTGCTTTCACGTTGATTTATAGCTCTGTTCGCGAGTTATTCGCTACTTTTCGTTTATTTTCATTTTTGTGGCCCTCTCTATCACTCTCGTTCTCTCTTTCGCGCTGCTTTCTAACATTTTATTTTTTTCGCTCTGCACTTTATTTATCTTTCATTCGACGTTTTGTCGTCGCTTTTCTAAAAATTGCTCATGTTATTTCAGTTGGCTGGCAAGCAAAACCCACCTGCAAGCCAGCCACCCACACAAACTCCACGCCGCCCCACCCCCACTTCCAGAGCACCCTTGACCTGCTGCAACAGTCAATTGCCACCCAACTCCCACTGCTGATTTTTTCCGTTCACCATTTACCCTTTTTGCACATTGGCTTTTTTAACAGAGAGTCTTTTCACTATATAGAGAGTCTTAGGCATTTAGCAGAGCCTGCGGCAAAACTGTTAATAACAAGCTTGGCTTTATATTAACATCTTACTTTTTGCAGAGCTTCTGTGAATGCACATAACAGTATCGAAGCAGCAGCTGTGACAGCCCAAGCTAAACCTTTAAAGAGAGTCCTATACGAATACTTAACTGATTTCTCAACTGTTATTTTAACATATTTCTATTTCACTTTCTTGGAAGAGCTTTTAAAAAAGTCTTATACAAATATATAACATGTATGTTAATTTAGCATTTATGTTTTTCGTAATTTTTTTTATAAGAGTGTTTTCAGAATCTAAAGAGTTTGCTAACTGTCTTAGAAGAGAAGAGAATCGCTTCGGTAAAGTTAAACGGACATTAGAAGATTCTGCGAAACAAATGATTTATTTTCATTTTCTTTATTCACATTTTGGCACATAAAAGATTGTCTTATTTGTTTAAAAAGTCTTTTGACATAACCTGTTAAATATTCTGAAAGTCTGAGAATTAATAAATCAACTATTTAAGCTTTATATTATGCTTTTCTTTTATACTTAGCGCTCTTGCACAATCTCTTAATAATTATGGCAGAGGAGTTACTGGAAGAGAGCTACTATGAGTTTCGTTTTTTTTGACAGTCCAATCTTGCTGTTTACACACATTTATTGAAAAACAAAAAAGTTTGGTCCTAACAAATATTCATATACATATCAGTTCTAAATAAATTAAATAATTTTTTTTTTTTTTTTATTAACTTGGTTTGTTTTCCATATGGCTGACTACAGCTTTAACAGATAGTTAACAGAATATATGTTACAGCTTCCTAACACTCTGCAAAAACCAGATTTTAATAAAGCCTAGCTTCTCAATAACACAATTGTGTCCCGATAAACTTAAGCATCCATATACCCTTCCATAGTATCGACATCTTCGCTTTTTCCCGCTTGCTTTACGCCATTCAGTTTGACTGTACTTTGTGTATACAATTTCCAATTTCATAACTTTTCTGCTGCTCTTTTATGGCAATTTTCATTCGTCAGTTCGTCTTCTGCTTCTTTTTTACGCTATGTTTAGAAATCGTGGAAAATGAAAAAATAACTTTGCCGCAGGTCAAGCGCCCAAATGTATGCTGCATGTTTTGTCTTTGTTACCTTTTGCACATTTGTTGGTTTAATGTTTCAGTTAGTTATACACGCACACCCCCCACACACACATATATACAGATAAAAATTTATAGGAGTGCGTGTAACACATATAGCATGTAGATATATGTATAAGATATATATACATTGATATAGATTGGTGCCCAGCTTTGTTCATCAGTTATGTCAAATGCCCAAATGCTTTATAATTGATTTAGTCAAAGCGAACTTTGTAAAATGCATCAAAAGTGTTGCCAAAAAAAATATAAAATAAAACTGAAAAAATAAAATAAAAACGAAAAATTTGCAGACGAAAATATAAATACTTAGATAAACAATAATAGTTGGAAATAGTTTGTAAGTTGCAGCAGCTGTTGGCTCGAAAAAAAAAATATATAAATATATATGCAAACTAATTATTATGTATACAAAACAGAAAAGTATTTAAATAAATTTAAATATGATACAAGCAAAAATGAATGACAATATTTTCTACATCTTTTAATTTGTGGGTTGTGAAAAAATTTTAACGGAAAGGAAGTTCCATTCATAACTTTATTGGTTTTGATATACAATAATATTTTTTTTCTTTACTTAGACTTATAAAAAGTCATAAAATTAATGAGTTTTTCAT